GGGTTAGGAAGGGTATTGATTCAGCCCAAAGCACGGCCGCAACGGAAACTGCAATCCACAATCTTTCCTCCAATTTCAACACAATTCACTATTGTGTTACCAATTGAAAGGATTTTTTTTAGACAGCTGAATCATGTTTTAAAACGATGTTAATAAAACACAAACAAAAGCCCCATGGTTTTTTCCCTCTGATTTTTACCTTTTTCATTAGACTTTCGCATAAAATATAATTACCCTACATAAATTGTTTCCTTTCAAATTTGTAAAAATATCTTAATTACAAACCGTAGCAAATCGTACTGAAAGAACAGCACGAGAGCATTCTAAACAATGGGGCGCCTATTTTACAGAAATCACGGGCCAAAACGACACATGGCAAATAAAAATGTCTCCCAGTGGAGTGTTCCCCTATAAAAAACGCAACAGTACACTGTAAAGGTTATAGGAATATAGGAATTAAAAATGTAGCCGCACACCTCTGATCTACAGAGGAATTCTCTTTTCTGATAAACCGGAATGGCCGGCCAGTTCTTATGTAAGGCGAGCGCCCTCAGTTTCTTCTTCGTCTTCTTTTCCTAATTTTTTTTTTCTTTTGCTCGTTTCAAAGCTATTTCCAGCGGTGTCAGTTTAGAGAAAGTGTCTTCAACTACGATATTGAGGTTCACGGTTATTGCACGACAGACATACACACACACACACGCGCGCACAAAATAGATAAATAAAATAATAATAATAATAATACAAAACGAAAACAAAATACCCAAACCTAATGAGGCTAAGTATTTGTTAACCGATTTAATCCTCTTTGTCCTTAACAATCCCTCCTTCCTCTTAATATCACTGCCTTTTTGATGCGCTATCTTGTCTTTGTAATATTTTGCAACCCCTTGCATAATTGCGGTAGTTTTTTCACAGCGATAAAAAAAGGACTTCTGTCCTCTTAACAAAAGAGCCGAGCAATGCAACGGTTTATGGGACACTTGGCGAGAAAACCCGCCCAACGTAAGTTTCAGCAAATTTCGTGAAAATACCTTACGATATAGAACCATTATGTAACCTTTCAGGCTAGCAGTTTTGTGATGGTTCTTAAAAGTGAGGTCAGCGAAGCCAACAAAGCGGAGCGTCGGAGTTCATCCAAAGTTGGTTCCTCATTTACATATGCTTCTTTGGCTGACCCTGATGCAATAGTTTAAATTAATTGATACTTAAGCCCAGAAAACAGGGTTTTCTGTTTTTCATAGATAAACACTGTCGTTCTCACTTATATTTTCACAAAGAGAAATTTGCTGGTATTTTCGGATGAAGACGTTCATCGGCAGACGGGTTTTTTTTTCACAAATTTTCCACTACAAATAATCCATGTTCATCCATCTTTTCCAAGAGAGGACAAATAATTGGAGATTCAACCTGTAGTAGACGTAAAATAAGGACAAACATAATTTTTCACTCGAGATGGTAAGGTAAAGCCTGCACTCAAGCCCAGTGTCTCACCCAGCCGGAGCTTAACCCCGATTCCATGGCATGAGCGACAAAGATCGTCACTACTCCCCCCTGGTTGGCATGCCAGTGTCCATCACGAGGTTACCCCTCAGCATTTAATCCGGCTTCCCCGACAATTCGCCACTATCCGTTTATACTCGTGGGTGAAGAGAAACAGAGGGAGAGTCAAGTGTTTTGTCTGAGAACACAAAACAATAACTCAGCCAGATCTCGAACCCAGACCTCTCAACCTTGAGTCCAACCAATAGGCCATTGCGTCTTCCACTTTACACTTGAATATAAAGGCCTGAGCCGAGTTGTTCAAAGCAAGATTAAGCTAACCGAGGGTCACCCAACAATATTTGATTCAGTTTTGTTGCTTTACAGACAGTTAAAACAATTTGTACTTTTTTCCTTCAGTTTTGTTATACACTATTGTTAAACTCTTGAAAACGTGAGCCGTTATATACCCCAAATTTAACGAGAAATACAGGTTAAATCAATTTTTTGAATCCTGGATTACCGCCAACCGCCTTTTGAAAAACCGGCTCCTGACTTATAATTCGTATTAAGCGGTCACCTGAAATGAGGTTACAGACAATTGACACCTGGCATCTTAAAAATTGAATCAGGTATTTTTTTCCCTTACGTTTATCGATCTTACCCTTAGAATATATTCACACGTGCTTGGCTCCGTTAGCGAAAGGGCAACTTCTTGAAGATGTGTCGACTCCTTGCATCTGCAACAAGTATGTGTCAAATTGTAAGATGTTGCACAATTGTCACGTTTGTGGGGGTTCCAACTCAAGCCAGTTTCGATCGCGCGGTCGAATGCTACTTTTAACTACCAGACCTTGTTGCTTAGTTATACCATAAACTTAGCTGATATGTTTCAGTGCTGTCTCTCGGTCTGCCTGTCAGATCTTCAAACTAATAGTCTTTCCGTACACGTTTGTTCGTCCGTAGTTACGTCTCCTCGTCTACTCTGTTCCGAGCGTTCAGTTAGTAAAACGAAGCGCAAAAGTAAACAGTATTAGTATATACCACACAAGTGAAAATGCTTTTCGCCTGCATTGATTGGCTAATTCGGAATTGAATAGCAAGTAATATTAACTTCCAAACAGCCTACGGGACAAAATCGAGCGTCAAGCGTCTAATTTACGACTACTTTTCGCTATATATTTTTTCGGTATCTGTGTGGTATACACT